ATCAAAAACCACCACTTTTTAAAAAAAATCAGATAGAAAATAAGAGAAAATTTTGAGGTTAACCCAGGGTCAAATACGCTAACTTGCCGTGAGAGCGCGGGTTAACTTTTTGCTGCAATAACTTTCGAGTTAGCAGTTAACCCTGGATGGATAAACACTTGTCACAACTTTGACCCAAGGTTATCTGTAACTCATGGGGTAACCCTCTATTGATAAACCGGCCCTTAGAGTTTTTAGGCGTGACATCCGGAAAAAAATTTTTGCCTCCGCCGGCGCCTACGTCAACCTTTCCCCTCCCTCTATAAACAAATTTAAAATCTGTTTTTTTTTTAAAGATAAAGGTCAAAATGACATTGTGTTGGCAATACAATGTAAAATTGTCAAAGCGTTCAATTTTTTTATGTAGAAAAGGCTTGTGTTGCCAACATAGTTACTAAGTTTTTGACTTGGGGAATTATCAATAGTAATATAATTAGTGCAATGGAAATTATTGATAATTTTTGGGAAATTTGCCCGAATGCATTTTTAGTTGAAAAAGAGCACACGTGCACGAGTGCCTTTTCAGTTAAAAACGCATGAGTGCAAATTTGTCGAAAATTATAAATATATTTCTATTGCACGAGTTGTATTTAATGAGAGAATTTCATAAATCAAAAATTTTTTGTCAAAAAATGTCAAAACGCCAGTTTTCGCACCAGTTAGTATGCAATTACCTGATAATTTGCACTAGTGCAAATTATCCCGTAATTACAATCTGATTGGTTCAAATCAACAATCAAAACATGTCAATTTATTGTTGGAATACCAGTTTTGACAGATGTATGAAATTCTCTTAAAAAAAAGAAACAGACTTTATAAACATATTATCCTGTAACTACGAGGACTTTCAAAAATCGGTGCCTCTGCCAGGCCTAGGCCCCCCCCAGGTCAGATGGCTAGTTACGCCAGTGTGTGCATACTACTGAATCGCTATAATTTTTCTGCAATTCAACTGCAAATAGTTTGAATCTATTTCAACAATAAGGATAAGCTTTCGCTGGTTCGGACATGCCAATTCAAATTCTCGAAGGCGAGTCTCAAGTCCACGTCAGAATCATGAAAATCTGATTTCGCGCACCTGATTCTATCATATTTTATTTTTATTTCAGGAGCTAAATATGGTATTGTCGAGATTTTATCGCAATTAATTGCTAGGGTGATCGTTTTATAGATTTAGGACATTAAGTGTCTAGTGTGTGAAGCTCTGCACAGCAATCTGTCTATTTGCAGGTTTATCAAGAGATGATAAGTTTTTCTCACATTGGTGAGCCTTAAATTGCAGTTCTTTGTATCCGAAAAATAGGGCAGAACGCGTAAAGGCCCCCGTTGCTTTTCAATGTAATTTAATGTAACGGAATAAAATGAATACATGGCGATTTGCCTGATGCGTAATTTGGAATATTGATGTAGATATTTCTTGAACCTTTGAAATGTTCTATGTACATTTAATATATCTCCATCAGGATCCATTAAAATTTGATCCAGAAAGCTCAATCTTATTACATACCCTCAATATGGAAAACATAAATAATTATTAAATGCGAGCCATGAGAGATAGACAAGATAACAAGATGACAAGCTCGGCTGCCTGTATTTTACCAAGCAATAGTTACCCTAATATTGAGCTAAAAATTCTTGCGATTCTATCTCAATTAGTTGTTAAGTTGCACGCACCAGACATAATCAAATGTCCTAGAGAACTCATAAATACGTAGGGGTTACGACATACGGGCGGAAATAAAGCGAGTCACGTAAATAAACTATAAATTATTCTTTTCGCTTTTGAGCCATTCACGATTTTAAAATAGAGTCACATTTTCATGCCATTTGGCTTTGCCAGGTACAATTTTCGTGCTTATTTTACGATCGAAAATTCTAATCAGGTATGCATCTTGAAATATAAGACTAGGGTATAATAAAATGATGCAGTCGAGATGGTACAAAAAGATATCCTTCCGCACGAGAGGACGTATACCGCATTTGGGATTTGACAGTCGAAAAAGTTTGTTGAAATGGTATATCAGTGCTTCGGCACGTTTTGCCGATGGAATATCAAGCGGAAGATTGAATAAGCGATGCTTGCGCTCGTCACTTCACTTAAAGAGTTCGTAAACTGAAAATCACAAGTAGATGAAAGTAATTTTTGAGTTTTCTACCAACTTTTAGTATATTTCGTGTGCTGGAAGAAGTTTGTAAATTAAAAAGTTTCAACGTATAAAGTAGTTTTCCATAAATACCTGATTGGCTTTTAATAATGTTTAATTGGAAACGATAGGCATTTAATCGAGAACCGATAATTCGGAAATAATCCAACACCATTCCCATACGAGGAGCAAAGTTCCATAGTTCCGGTTAAACATCATATTCTCTCGAACTAAAGGCCTTATCCGCTTGTATGTGGCGGAATCAAAACATGACATTGCGACTTTTGAATGCGTTATTATGTTTGAACGATTTCATGGCTTGGTCCATCGATTGTCTAAACATTTTTTGCACAAAGTTTTTTGATGCAGGATGTTCCAAGAAGAACTGTACCGGTATCACCCTTATGTTTTCAAATGGCGCTTTCCCTCTATGATGAGATATTTGAATATTAGATCGGTTTTGCTCTAAAATTAACCGTTTGGGTTTTATGCTTGGTTTATACTTCTAAATAAAGAATTAAGCTAAATTGAGAATTAGACTAAACTAAAAATTTTAATGTTAAACGTTCATAATTTGATGCTGTCGTTTTTACCTCAAATAAAAAAATTATATTAAATTAAAATTAAATTAAATGTTGGTTAACTCTTAACTGAGAATTAGGCATTGAGGTGATCGTTCTACATAGTTCTTTAAATTCGAAAGCCACTATCCATACGATCTGCTAAATGTTAACCCTCCGTACACACACATACTTTTTGAAAACACCAAACACACACTGGGGTGTATGATTCCCCCAAGCAGTTATTGCTGGTTCTTAACACACACAAAATAGACGTTTAAGGATATTAATAGATGTTTATTTGTCCAAAAAGCAAAACCTAGCACTTAAGGAATTAATTAATTTGTACTAAAAAACAAATAAATATTCTGTTACATTGTACCTATAAAAAAAATCAATAAAAATGTTTTAGTGGAAAATAGTTGTTTTTGTATCTAGTCCGCGAAATGCAACTTTGATGATCGAGAATTGATTTTTTTAACGAGGCGCAGCCGAGTTAGAAAAATAGTCGAGATTTTTGAGAATTTTAATTGCTAATTGGTGTACATTTTTCAAGGGGTGTTATCTTGGACTTCATAAAGATATTTGTCCAGTCCACCGGTCATTAACACCAGTGTCATTTTGTTCTAACCCTTACGAACATCACAAGAGGTAACTATGCTCATTTTATATTAATTCGCCGAAATTGTCATTGTCAGAAGCTCAGTTCAGGCCAGTAAATATTTTTGGTTCTTAAGCCTGGATTAAATTTGAGGGTTACATCACCGAGTTACACGTTTCATCACAGGATTACAACAATCCTATCTATGGGTTACATTACCAAAACCCAGTTACAAAGATTCTTCCTGAAGTTCTATTCTACTCCAGTTTATTCCAACACGTCTGCGGTGCAAGTACACTTTTGGTGGCACTCATTTCCCCCATGCAGAATATTTGCTCTATAGTTGATTCATGAGGGAGCACTTTTACGTTTATACAACCACCAATTCAATAACCAATTATTTGATCAATAACCGAACAGTGGAACATCTTCAGTGAAGATAACTGAACGTACTCCGAACTACACCAGAGTGAGTCAATTAGTGTGTAACCAATTATTATTTTTATACACATTCCTTTTCATTTACTTTTCAATTAATCATTTTCAGAAGCTGAGGGTTACTTGTTATAGGTTATAAATTTTCCTTACAGTTATGTTACTGTTTTGCTAGACCCCATCAGTTTGTGAAAGTTGATTCTGTTTAGATTTTTATTGATATTTCTTTATTTGTTACTTAAATGTTAGTAACTAATTATTTTCTATTTTTTATTATTTGAGAAACGGGCTGATCACTCGCAAGTGAAATCTTGCTTACCAGTTGTCGTATTATTGTTATTGCATTGCATAAGTCAACAGCAGTACCTAACCATTTCAAAACCAATAAATCAACTTGATCTGTTTTCAAATATTTTGTTTTATTATTATTATTTTTTTCTAATGTTTACAGCTTACAGTTGTCTTCGCAATCCTTCAACTTAAACTGCACAATATCGCAGGGTTTTCCTATTTAACCTATAAAATAGGTGGCGCCGAACTCACGTTCCTCTTGGAACACTTTACTAATCCAAGAGTTAAGTTGAGGGATTGAATAAGCTGATTGTGCCGGAAATTAAAAGTGTTCAACAAACGAACAGCTGGTTTTAGAGCAGAAATATCAACAGTGGATCTACACGATATGTAAATTATTAGAAGAATACGGGAAATAGGGTTTGGTAGTAAAAAACAACTTTATCAATTATTTTTACTTTAATTACTTTATATTTTTATATTCGAATTTGTATATCAACTTTTTCTATTAACTCAGAAGAATCACTAACAATTTTTTTTTTTTTTAATAAATTATTTAAGAACAAAAATCAGTATTTTTTCTTTAATTAGTTTAAGATTATGTACAATATAACTAATAATCTATAGACAGAGAATACTACTGGCTGCTTATTCTCGAGCTTGAGAGAAGTGATCGTTCCTCCGAGAGAAAGGATAGATCACATCGTATGGTTATTCTCTCATTGGCAAAACGCCCTATTCTTGAAACCGTGCGATGATGGCCGAACGAGTGATCGACGAATCCAGCGTTGCCGCTTATATATTTGGGCTGAAAGCCAAAATCTATGAATAACTGCTAACTTCATTGTTGATTCGCTGATTGTTTGTTCCCCGTTTTGAGGTTATGTGAAAATTGTTTCATGAATCTTGTGCTCATCTATTTTCAAAAAAATGTCTAATGACCACAATAAGATAAGGGCGGCTCCGATCAACGGGATACAAAAAGATATTTTGGTGGAGTTTATGCAGCAACATGAAGATCTACAAAGCGCGAAGTTTACAAAAGAGTTTACTTTCAAAAAAGCCCAACATCTTTGGAACGAAATCGCCCTAAAACTAAATGCTGTTCCAGGAGGGGCCCATAAAGAGTGGAAGATGTGGCGTAAAGTAAGTTAGCTTTTATTTTTAAAGTGTTTAAATTCACCGAATGATTTACCTAGTCAGGGTTTCATTTTTTAATTTTACAGACTTGGCAGGACTTAAAGAAAAATGTCAAGTTAAAGGCTACAAAAGACAAATTGTACCTACATGGAACAGGAGGGGGGCCAGAAAATGTCACCATTCTGGACAATACAGAGAACACTATACTAGAAATGATTCCAAAGGTATCAACATTTGGAGAAGCAAGTGTCGCCATTCCAAATGCTTACTTTGATTTTGGTGAGGTATGCACTTGGGTATTACCTAGTTTTTTATTACAACTTTTTAATACTATTTTACTTTTCAGACTGAAGTAGTAGTTGTAGATGAGGCTGTAATGCAAAATAAAGAAAATACTGATATGGAAAACTGGGACAAATCGATACAGGTAAGATTTGATCTGAAATATATTATAAGCATCAGGCAGGTATGCATTATCTACCTACAAAATTTACCAATATTAGTAACCCTAAGTTTATATTAAACATAATGCAAATCTAAAGTAGTGATATATATTTCCAGGATCAACATGAAATGGATCATGGATATGCTTTGCAGCCTGAACCAACAACCAGTACACCTTTAAATAAAAAGTTTAAAGTAGTTACAAAAACTAGAAGGCTCGAACATTCATTAAAAAATTGTCAGAAGTTGGTCAAAGTCGAGGAAGCAAAAAAAGACATTGTGGAGAATTATTATAAAGAAAAAATCAGGTTTTATCAAAATAGAACAAAGTACCAAGCTGAAAAATTAATATTACTTAAAAAATCCAATGAACTGCAGAATGAATCCAATCTAGTTAAAAAAGAGATTTTAAAAGAACTTGTAAACATGAAACATATAATAACAAAAGATATTTAAACATTTTATTATAATGTGGTATATCTATAAGTATTATTTTTATTTGTTGTTAATTAATCAATTAGAAATGTAAAATTTTATTTTAACCTAATGTACAACAGGGAAGTTTTTGATTTTTTTAATTTTTTTTTATATTAGTGTTTTGTTTTTGTAGTTTAAAAATTCTGTTTTAGTGCTTGATTACCAAATAATAGAAGTTATTTTTATTACTAAGTTATTTAGGTGATATTGATTTTGTGGCAATTAAGTACAAAAATGTGTTCCTTGTAGAAAAGTTTAAATGATTTTGAGATGCTTGTCCAAGCAGTAGGTGACAAAATATTTGAATAAATTTAAATTAGATGAAACCAAAAAATGTATTTGAGTTTTTTCCATATTATATAAAAAGTATGTGTCAACTGATCTTACTGAAAGAAAAATAGACAATGAAATCAAAGTTTATTGTTTATTTAAATATAATGCGACAAATTTATACTATAAAAAACATTATTACTAAAAACATTAGCAAGCCAGCATCTTTATATATTATTAGCCATCGTTTCCATTGAAGTGGTTGATGGCAATTTGTTGCTGTAATTGCCTTGCTAGAGCTAAATCTGCATTTACAACTCCAATTGGTTCAGGAGGCACATCATTAACATAAATTCCGAAGTCTATATTTTCAATGTCTTCCTCAACAGGCTCAGGCACATTAGCTCTAACACACATATTGTGCAGTACTACACAAGCGTTAATTATAACACCTGCTTTTGGTGGCATGTAGTGCAGCACCCTGTGTTTTAATAAACACCGGAACCTATTCTTAAGTATTCCATTACACCTTTCAATGCCACTCCTGACACTCTTTTGTCTTGCATCAAACCTCTCCTCGGCATTATTATTAGGCTCTCTTTGCAGCGGTGTCATGATCCAAGGCCTGAGAGGGTACCCTGTAAGCAAAAAATTATTATCATTATTCAACCCATAACCTAATTTCTCACAATAACTAACAAATTGTTTGAAACTTTTAATAACTAACCTGAATCAGCAAGAAGAAAGAAAGGGTTGCGTTGGTTGTTTCTATAGATGGTCTCCAAAATATTTGCTATATTAGATTGCCTCCAAATATGGGCGTCATGGCTACTCCCAGGGAACCGAGCATCCACATTTAAAATTATCATGTTTTCATCACATATCTGCAAAAAATATTATTAAGTCAATTATAATACCTACAAAAATTAACATGAGTGTAGTAAAATTATTTTACATTCCACAAAAAAAAAAACATATAGGTAACATGCAAAATATCTTGCCAACTGGACGTTAATAGAGTGATACCCTTTTCTATTAACATATATATGTTCTGGGTGATCTGGTCCTCGTGGTCTTACTATTGCCACATGGGTGCAATCTATAATTCCAATGACCCCGGGAAATTGATATTTTTGATAAAACCTATGAAAAAAATGTCGATTATTTACCAAGTAACAACAGTCACTTAACAAAAAATTAACACAATTTCCTAGTTATGTTACCTTAATCTTTGTTCTTCTAACTCTCGAATATTTTGAGGAAATTTAACCCATCGATTTAAAATGTCTGGCCTATTTAAGGCTAAAGCTACTTCGTTGATGCATCTGCTAACAGTAGCTTGGCTTACTACAGTAAAAATACTACTACCGGTAATTTCCTGGTAGCTGCCAGTTGCAAAAAATCTTAAAGCAATAAACACCTAAAAAAAGTTATCATATATATCTGTACTGTATAGGTATCACCCTTAATTTCTACAGTGTACTTATTTGATTTATTGTCTCGAAATATAATTCATCATACTTGCCTTTGTTTGTATATTTACAGCAGATGTTCGTGTAGGACCTTGCAAAAACGGTAAAAGCTCTTGAATTAAATTACTTGTTAAGTTTCTACTTAAACGAAAAAGTTTTCGGAACCTAATTTCACTTAATGCAAAAGCGTCTTCTCGTGCATAAAATCTTCTAATTGGCTGGTTTGCTTGTTCCTCTGCATCTTCCAAATCATTAATTATCACAGCTGCTATAGCTCCGATTCCATCCATTACAATATTACTAGGTATATTAAGCTTGATATAATTATTTTGTCAATAAAAGTATCTCTCTTATTTAACAACTAGAAAAATATATAAAGAATAATAATTGCAATATGGAATAAGAAAAGTTGTGATTCGATTTAAAGGTTATAATAATAAAAACAAAAAGTTGAAAGTTGTGGTTCGCGCACACTCCAATAATTTTTCTCTCACACGATTGTCAGTTCGCATGGTAAAGACCCAGTAGAACGTCGTTCGCATACTTTTTGTAGGATGGGAATGATCACATATTTCGAGAATGCAGGAAAGCCGAAAGTTAGGAGAACACCGCCCACTTTTCCTACACGATCACTGATCACCTATTTCGAGAATACGGGTCCTGATATCAAAGAAAAAGGACTGACTTGGTTGGCATTTGTACAAAAATAATGGCAGATACGAGAATACATAAGAAAATCATTCAGCCAGGAGAAAGAAGTCACGGCATATCTAAAAATCGTTTTAGAAGTGGAGTAGAGTAGACGAGGTAATGAGAGACAGAGGCTTGGAGGAGGATGCCTGGATTGACAGAGATGGTCGGAGATCGGAACTAGGAAGAAGTAGAAGGTTATACACCGATAATTATATACATAAAATAAATCTCTATTAGGCGACTAGTTGTATTGTTTTGCGATTTGAACTTTCTAATCAATTTTTTGTAAGTACATACTATTTAGGTTGTTGGTTTCTGAAAGTGAGGCGGTGCCTAGTAAATATTTAATTTCAATGTTGGATAGAAATTGTAATGCGAGCTTTCGCCTGGGTATGATGAACAATCGGCGATATATTTATAATACCTCTAACTCACATTGTTTGAGTTCTACAGTCATTGCTTTGCTTTTTTCAAAAGTTAATATGAAGTTATTGAGGCTTTCTTCCAAGATATACAATTTGTTCAGCAGCTTTGAAGGAGTCAAAATCTGCGTCGATGCTTTTCAGCCTTGGGAGCTTATCCATTTAATAATATTTAGAACTGTAGCAATAAATCCTCAATTTACATGAAAACACCGGCCCCTAGACAAAGCTTTTCCAAAATTGTTCAAGGGGCCTCCGTGCCATTTCACTATAATTAGATTCGCCAGAATGTACTTATGAAAGAGTGACCTATACACTCTTCTGAAAGGAAGAAAGTAGCAGTTTTTGGCTTGGCATACTAATAAATTGACTTGCACATGTTTTTCGTCTGCTGATATTTCTCAGCCACAACCTAAATTCTTCAATTTGTTTATTGATTCCAATAAATTGAAAATCCCTTGCACCACAATGAGTGTGCTTTTTTCCTCTACGACCAAATTCTGATATCTACGTCACAAAATCGGAAGCCGTACATAAAACAAGCCTGGCATCGCTCCGATAGAGATATATCCGCATTTATGTTTCGCGGCTAATGTTTACAAGCTGTAGACGTTACAATACATGAAAGATTCTACACCAACGATATACCTTGGTCTTTTGGTTCTCATTCAACAGAAGGACAAACTTGATTTGCCTCAAATATGCCATTTTCAAACTTCATATGATTCATTTGTCCAAACCCATATTTCTGTTTTGCGAGCTCTTTAGTTGCCGCTCTATTTGCTTACCATAAGCAAGCCTTCAATCAAGGAGGAATCGAGTAAATATTTGCTTTTTAAAATGTTAGCTCTTAAAAACACTTCTTGGAACTGTTCATTCCAATTTTTTTTTTTACATTTCGTTTATACGTCACGTTCACGTTTATATTACCCACTTTATGTCGAAACAAGATTAGTCTAGGAAAATTGTCGATTTTCAAAAAAAAAAATCCTACCTAAAAGAACTTTTCAGGGATGATAGGGGGAGGGTGAATGATCATAAAACCGAAAATATCAAACATTCACCCCTCTGGCGTTTTGCGCTATAGGGGTTGAAAGTGCGCCATTGGCGATTACTTGGTATCTATTGATTTTACAAAAAAAAAAATTCAAATAAAAGATGTGCAACATTATTTGATTTACAATGTTTATCTAAGGACTTTTTTGATTGGGGGCCGTCTGTGGTCATAGGGGCCGTTTAAAATTTTATAATGAAAATGAAAAATTTTAACCAACGTGAAAAAATTTTCTACTACACATACAACATTTTTGCTTTATGAAGTTTTTACTCACCCCCTACCGTTTTTCGATAGGGGTAGTTTAAAGTTCATTTATTTTTTTACAAAAAAATTTTCCTTATAAAAGTTTCATAAGATTACATTTCCTACAATTTTTCCTAATCAACTTTTTTTGTAACTCACCCCCATTCAGCGGGGGGACTTTTCCCTCGGGGAAATTTTAGTTTTTAGGGGTATATATATATAATTTTTTTTTCTTTTCTCGCCTTTAGTGCATATAAAAAGTTGCAATTAACATTGTATTGAAAGGATTTTTTTTCCACCACCTTTTAGGGGTAGTTCGCCTATTTTCAACTTTACAAAAAAAAATTATCAATAGTAATATAACTAGTGCAATGGAAATTATTGATAATTTTTGGGAAATTTGCCCGAATGCATTTTTAGTTGAAAAAGAGCACGAGTGCACGTAGTGCACGAGTGCCTTTTTCAATTAAAAACGCATGAGTGCAAATTTGTCGAAAATTATAAATATATTTCCATTGCACGAGTTGTATTTAATGAGAGAATTTCATAAATCAAAAATATAAATTTTTTGTCAAAAAATGTCAAAACACCAGTTTTCGCACCAGTTAGTATGCAATTATCTGATAATTTGCACTAGTGCAAATTATCGCGTAATTACAATCTGATTGGTTCAAATCAACAATCAAAACATGTCAATTTATTGTTAGAATACCAGTTTTGACAGATGTATGAAATTCTCGAGAAAACTTGTTCATTTTATTATTTTGAACAACTTTTCTCTATAACTTTTTTTTGTAAAGTTGAAAATAGGCGAACTACCCC